TCAATTTCTTCTCACGGTAGAACAGTAACAGTATCAACTGAACTTTCGTTTTCCTTGCAATGCATTTCAATCGCTTTCTACGGCAAAACATATATCGGATATGAGATTATGGAGCGAAGTGACGAAATTTACTTAACTATTAAACATTAATATTATATTAAATATACTTGAGTTTAAGTGTTAACAAATAATCGTTCTAACATAATAAGTATCTATTCAAAACTAGTTTTTCGAAAACTACACAAAGAAAATTACATTATAAAGTGATATAGTAACATTGTAAGATGGTAATAATAAATTATATTATGAATACATGTACCTTATAAACAAAAAAGAACGAGCATTTTAAAAAGAAAACGCAAAATTTTAATTTTTAATAATATTCTTTATTATCGCCTTCAAAGTACTCTCCTCCTGCGGGAATACATGCATGCCAATGCTTGATCCAATTCTCCATACAAGTTTTATAGGCCGCCGAAGGTATGGCCTTTAGTTCACGCAGCGAATTCTCTTTTATGGCCTCTATGGTCTCAAAACGCGTTTCTCGTAATAGCAATTTGAGATGGGGGAAGAGAAAAAAGTCACACAGGGCCATATCTGGAGAGTATGGTGCTTGATTGATGATATTGGTGGAGTTTTTGGTCAAAAACTGCGACACAACCAACGCTGTGTATGCTGTGTGCCGGTGCGTTATCGTGGTGTGAAATCCATGAGTTTTCCTTCTATAAATCTGACCTCTTTTTGCGAATGGTCTCACGCAAACGACTCATAACGGCCAAATAATACTCCTTATTGATCGTTTGACCGTCCGGAAGGAATTCATCGTGTTCACACCACGAATATCGAAGAAAACAATCAGCATAACCTTGATTTTGAATCGACTTTGGCGTTCCCTTTTCGGTTTCGGCTCACCTTCGAAGCACCATTCGGTCGATTGTTGTTTGGTGGTCAAATTAGCATGTCAAATTCATAGACCCATGTCTCATTACTAGTTATGATGTGTTCGATTAATGTGGGGTCACTATCTGCGTTGGAAATCATCTCTTTGGCCACATCACAACGACGCTTTTTTTGAATGAAATTCAGCTAAAAATTGCCACACGAAAACTTCTTTGTATAGGCGCCAAATAAAAACTAATCGTACAATATGCGTTAAACTTTGACAGAATGTGTAAAATAGTGTTGCCAGCGTGAAAATAAAAAAATTTACCGATTGGATAAGCGCGGGAATTCAAAAAAAGAACAAATAAGTTCTTTTTTGATTACAAGTTATAATCATTTGGCACTTTACAGTGTTTCCATTTAAATTGATTACTGAGCTCATTAGTCGTTATCGTGAATGTCCCTATAGTTTACTTTTTAAAGACTAAATTATATCGTCATTTTTTATATAATTTTACAATAGAAAAAAACCCTAATATAAAGAAATATCTTTATTATTTCTGTAACAGTAGATACTTTACTGAAAATCCTTATCATTTATATTTCAATAGCTTTAAAAATAGGTTTCAACCTATACGTCGGCTTCTGAAACTTGTGGTGATGAAGAAGCAAGATAAAGAAGAGCTTTAATTCGCAAAGGCAAAATATAATGATATATTATATTACAAATTATAGACCAAATTATTAACAAAAAATTTTTATTTTTGCCCAAACAATTTTGAAAATAGGTTTAAATAACTTATTAAATAACTTTAAATAACAACAAGCGTTGCAACAAGGGTTAATACCCGCAACGTTCAGTTAAGAATATAATTTATACTCAAATGAATATTTTTCACAAGAATTCTATTTCGGATTCTCAAGCGCACTCACAATTCTGCTCTCTATATATTTAAACTGAACGAATTCTCGAAAATGTTGTATTTAGATAGTATTTGGAAGTCTAATGGACTTCATGGGAAATTAACCACTTTTTAATTTTATGGCAAAAAAAACAAGTGGTGGGAAAGTATAAATATTTGCAACAAAATGTTGTCACTAATGTGACATACTAGAAACGCTATAATATATTTTAAATATTAAATTATACGTATGGAAATAAAAATTAAATTACATAGGAGAATTATTTTTTTATTACATATAAAATATTAAAATAAAAACTAGCATCACATACTAGAAAATATTATCTGTATGATTTTTTTAAAAGTTCACAAAATTATTTATAATAAGAGTTGAAGGATTTTGGGAGGGGAAGGTTGTTAATATACTAGAAAAAATTTTTTTTCAAAGTTTTTTCACAGTTAACTAAACTAATCGAAAAGGTTAGAGATTTGTGTGAAAGGGAATATTTCAGAAAACATATATTGTTCAGGTTATTTGCATTTCGTTAAATTAATTATATAGACATCCACATGTGTACAAATATTAATATGTAGAAAGAAATATACTTATTTATGTTATTTGTAAGAGCTTTATTTTTAATAGGTTTTTTTGCTCAAGAACTGTCATTTCTTTATCGATAATATTTTTGAGGCTTGACAAGTTATTATAATGTTTTTAAAGTTTCTTTATCAAAATTTCTTATTAAGAGTTCCCTGAAGCTGACTATTGAAGAAAGTCGGAATATAGGCATATAAATTTAATAAAGTATAATTATTTCAAATACAAATAATATTATAGTTTTTAATTAAATCACCAATGGGTCCGTTTCATAATTATTATTAATAGTACTGAAATATAAAATCAAAAGCATGTCAGAATTATTATGTTCTTCTTATCTTTTGATTAAATTGTCAAGGGGCGGTCTATTTTCTTTATCCCCTCTGACCCTGAGTACATCACTGAGATCAATTTTGTATTATACATACAGTGGCTATCAACTTATTTCATCCAACAATGTTTGAAATTTTTAAAACACTGTATCTTAAAAATGAATTAGAAAACATTCTTTGGACATAATAAATGAAACAAAGAACATAAAATATGCTTTTGTTTCGCTCACAGGGCAAAAACCCGACCGCATAACAGAATTATAGTTCACAGCTTATATCATCCAAATTATCATTTACACTTTTTTTTCCATAATATTTATAATTAAGGTATTTCCAACCAAATTTAATAAATTTATTGTGTGATTTTGGACGTGCAAAGATAAATACGTAAAAAAATGGGACGACGCACTACTATTGAGCACAGAGAAATGGTGCTAACCCATTTTAAGAACGGGCAACCTCAGCGGAAAATTGCGAAATTTGTTAATTTGAGTCGCTCTACTGTGCAGAGAATCATTAACCGCTTTGTTCGTGGTAATAGGACTCAAAATATGGGCAAAAGTGCACCAAATAAAGTTTTTAACTCAGCTGACAAGCGATATATTTTTAGAAAAATCAAGTGGAATCCAAAATTAAATGCTCCTGATATAGTCAGGAAGGTACGGATAGAGCTAGGCAAAACGTGCAATGCGGAAACTGTCCGCCGAGTGCTTCGACACTCCCACATTAATGGTAGAGTAGCTTTAAAAAAAACATTTTATAAGCAAAAAAAATCAGAGCAATCGTTTTTGCTAGGGACCATGCCCACAAAAAATCAAACTTCTGGAACAACATCATAATCTCAGACGAGTCGAAATTCAATACTTTTAGCTCAAATGGCATGACTAACGTGTGGCGGAAACCTAATACTGAGCTCAAAAAAGAACATTTAAAAGCTACAGTAAAACATGGCGGTGGAAGTATTATGGTCGACGTTGGGAATCTGGAGTTTAATGATAATAACATGGACAAAACAATATACCTCAATGTTTTGAAAAAAAATTTACTCCAGAGTGCCGTAGAACTTGGAATTTCTGAAACATTTCGCTTCTACTAAGACAACGACCCAAATAAAAAAAGGCCGACTTTGTACAGTCTTGGTTGTTTTGGAACTGCTTACTTCGGATGACACCGTCGGTGCAGAGGTGCACACTTAAATGTCATTCAATATTTATGGGCAATATTGGCTCAAAATGTTTGGCAATATAGTATTTCTAACAAAGAAGACTGAAAAGAGCCTGGTTTACAAGAGTGGATGAAAATTACTCCAGTAATAATCCAAAAACTTGTAGGTTGAATGTCGAAGAGACTTGACGAAGTGATAAAAGCGAAAGGGTATCATAACAAGTATTGACTTTGGAACCGAAGGAAATTTTTTTTTTGTGGATTAAATAAGCTAAGGCATTAAAATAGTAGTATATTTATAGTTTATGTTCACTATTTATTAAAACATTATTTTCGGTATTTTTGAAGTTTCTAAATTAAATAATAAATATTTTTCCTTAAAAGTGCCATTTAAATATTTTCAATCGATGACATAGTTTTTCAATAATAGCGTAAAGAATTTTAAATTTGGTGTTGGATGAAATAAGCTGAGAGTCAGTATATATTATTATATCTGCCCAAATCATTTGCACAACTATTAGTAAAAAAGTCAATTTCAATACTTAAGTATAGAAATCATTACTTGCCTGGTCACAACATTAAAATTCATTTATTCCTTAGTAAACAGTTATAGCTTATTATATGATGTAGTAGAATGCAATATATTGTATTAACTGAAATACTACTTCAATTAACGAGCGAAAAGGTACGATATCGCACAATCCGCCGTTGCTGTTACCAAGCGCACAATTAAAAAAGCGCATCTCTACTGTATAGTATGTAGATATAGGTGTATCAATAATAATTTCAGAAAAAAGATAAGAAACAAAAATATCAGTTATATACGTGGTACGATTCAAGCAGTTTGCCAACACAACAATATATCATATATATTTTACATATGGTCAGATATCACAACTTATTCGCATATATTTCTTTTATTTCAGGTTTATGATATTATCTTTATGATATTATCTTTATTTATTTATGATTGAATTGACGTAATAAATTATTTGTTTTTACCTTTCTATTTTACACGCTTTTTCCATTTATTTTAATATGAGTTTCTATATTAAAAACTTACATTTCACTGAACCAAGAAAACTTAATACCATCACTGCCTTAAGTATCTGTTGAAACATAATGATGTTATAATAGATATTTTGAATCTATGGGTCACTAGTAGACGAATAAAGTGCACTAAAGAATTTTTTATTAATACTGATTGAGTTGGTTTTCAATATTGTTCAATTTCATTCAATGATAGCAAATAAAAATTAAATTATTGATAAGATAAGAGATATAATAATAATTACACTGTTTATATTCTCACTTAAAATATATTTTTTTTAGAGCTGCCAGTTTGATAATGATGCGTCTAATCGGTGCCATGAGTATGAAGCTGCGCCGATAACAACGGCCCCAAAACCTAATGAAAAAGGTAAAATCTTAAAACTTTTCTATGATTGTTAGAATTTTGTGCCTTTATTTTTATCATAATTTTATAATATATAATTCATCTACACATGCAATTTTTTTTATGAGTTGTGTGCCAGTAGTAAATGTCATATTGTTAAAAGTATTAGTTTTAAATTGAAATTAATTGCATAATTTTCTAATTTTCATAAATTTTAAATATTTCATATACTACTATGAAATCCAAATATATATTACTTTTAGAATGTGATGGAAAAATATCTCCAACAAATTATACTAATCCCTCCAGTTCTAAAAAGCAGTCTTTACTTGCTGAAAACTATGTGCAAAGATCAACAGCTATCACCACTACACCTACTACTGCACCCATTTGCTATACGACTACTCGTTCAGCTGCAATGATGGCATTAGCTTTAGGTCAACAGTCCAAAAGTCCGGTCCATACGGTCAAAATACGTAACGAAAACGTAATACTTAAAAGTGATGCAGAACTGTCAGCTAGCCTCATACAGCACAATAAGACATCTTCGACTGCTTCGGTTTCAACTGCGTCCACAAAAGTAAATAATTCATCACCTGAAATGACTGCCACAGCACGGTTTAAATATAACTCAAATATCAACAGCACAAATAATGCCATTTTCTCAGGTGGGAGTGGTTCAAGTGGTTCTGATAATGATTGTTTTAATACCTCGTCCTCTTCTTCGGCAACTGCACTGAGACGCTTATACTTTAGAAGCGGTCGCAGTAATAAACCCAAAATGAATCCAACAGCAAATTCGACCATGACAAGTATTCCATTAACTGTAATTAATCAGGCAAATATTGCATTTCATACATCTGTACAAACCGAGGGCGTTCCAAAGGTGAGTACAAAAGTTTTAGTTGTTACTAAGTATCCATTTTGTGCAATAACTCAAATATATAGGTTCAAAGCAAAATCTGTTATGTCCAGTATTCAGAATTCGTTTTTGCACCCATTCACTTAATCTTTGGTTTGAATTTCAGGTTGTCGTTATGGGTTCATCAGCGGCGTCAATGACAGAAGCAAACATCAGCACATCAACGGACTCAGCATCTACACTTGTAACAAGTATTGCCCATACCACGGACACGTCGGCTTCTGAAACTTGTGATGATTCTGTTGATTTGGGTGAGTATTCAAAGTAAACAAATGTGTTGTTGATAAATTATAACACATCTTTACATTTAACATATTACACATTTTGATATGAGTTATCGTATTTATTAAGATTTTGAGATAAGTATAAACATATACAAGTAAACCTATGATAAAAATGAACTCAGCACCTTCTTTTCAATATATTATGTATATCAGTAAGCAAAGAAATTACAAACCTAAAATTGCGCATAACTACTTGTACATAACATATAATACAATTATGATTTCTAGAGTAATTTCTCTATGATTTAGGTTTGCGAAATGACTATATACCTGCAAATTGAAAATACCACAAATATTTAGTTTGGGCTATTATGACTGGTGATTAGCTTATTTATGACATTTTGTTTATACATATATTCCTATTTTATCATACATATAAGCTTTGGCTTTCTTAAACAATACATATGCTACTTATTTAAATAGCCCAATTATATTATCTGAGCTTCAAACTCAAATATGGAATCTCAAATATGGAGTGGAATATGAAGCTTTAGTCTTCTTTATATTATATCTAAACTTGGCAATTTACTTTATAAGCTCTACAAGCTAGATAAAAGAATATATAAGTGCTTATAACTTAAACTAAAATAATTTTTAGGTGATAACTCCGGACCGAGCGAACCATTATTTAGCTCATTGGAGGAGCCACTACTTACCACAAAGCATATTGACTCTGAACATGATAGTAATGATATCGAGTTAAAAAGTTGTTCAAGATACCCTAGATCAGAAATGAACTTACAGGATAGCACAGAGGTTTGTATTCAATTAAATTTTTAGAAGTCATCTAAATTTATAACAATTATTATACATGCTAATGTTATAATATTTATTTATTTGATATAATATATATAATATTTATATTTAAATTAATAGAGCCAAGAATCCACATTATCCATATTTGCTGCTGAACCAACATCAACCACGCCTTTGTTGTCAAATTGTCGTTATGATCTAAATACTGAACATCTCAGATGTGAATCCGAACTTTTGCCAAATACGGCACCTGCACCAAGTAGTGGCACAAAACACTTTACATTTGATCCGCCAAAAGCTCCACAATCGGCCAGCACATTTGAAAAGTCAAGAAACCTTTTTACTTTTAGAGGAAATACAAGCGGTAATTCTTCAAAATCTAATCAAAATCAACAACAAACACAACAACTTCAAAAACAAATTCGGCGTTTCTTCGACTCCGACAAGAATATTGAGGAACGCATACACAATACAAAACAGAATGAGGACCGCAGCATTATAGCAACGAAACGAGAGAACACATCTAATAAAAACAAATTTCGCACTGCATATGCATCTCAACGTAATACTAATAATAGCACTGAGGGGGAAGATATAAACGAAAGTGAAAATCTACGTAGTGGCACTAAAAAGTCTCGAGCGCGTGATGTTAATACAACAGTTAATTCACGTAACCGTTATTCAACGGGAGGGATAGCAGCTTTAAGTAGCACAAAAACAAGTCCAAAGCACGAAGTACGACGCTCGCCCACTTCATCTAAAATCAATTCAGCTCCACCAACTTTGAAGGAGAGTAATTTTTTTAATAGTGCTCAAGTATATGGAAAGTTAAAAGAATTACCCCCACCGACGCATACTCAAGGCGCTAATCAACGCAAATATTCTTCAAGTTCTTCATCTGGTGGCAGCGAACGCGATCGTAGAACTCCAAAAGATAGCACAATGTTTCCTTTTGATCGTGAGGCAATTGATTACAAACGCATACAAATGGAATGTTTTGAAGTTAATGAAAATTCGAGCTCGGAAAGTGAAACTAGCGATTCTAATAGTGGTGAATCATGTTCTGTATATGAACGAAAATTATCATTGCATCATAACACTCCTAAATCGGCTGATATATTTCAACAGTATACTCTTTTATCACATCAAGAACTGCAACAAAGTCATCACGTCAATACCGGTCCACCATCTCGTAAAAATTCAAAACGCATACGATCCGACTTTGTCATGCATAGCACTATACGTGAAAATCAACAATATATTATGGATTCTAATGCATTTTCTCCACATCAGAAAACGTCATTGTCGCTTTGCCATCAGTCGCAAAAATCGCATGGAGAATCAACAATTTTTAATGAGCTCTCTTCAAAATTTGAGCAGACTACATCAAAGTCTGGATCGAGTGCTAACATATCGCACAGTAAGATTTCTAGTCCTAACAGTAGTATTAACAGCACTCATACCACAGTTGGAGGAAAACATTCAACTAGTAGCACATTCAACAGTCCAACAAATAGTGTAATCGATGTTCGTAGTGATGCATGTTTGGAATCACATAAACTTTTACATAAGAAGTCATATAAATCAAAAAGTAATACTGGAAAAGGTAAGACAACGGACTCACCTACAAAGTTAACAAACATAAAGTACAATGGAACTGGAACAGTTATATGTACAGCTACAGGACCTATCAATGTGACTCCCAATCCTATGGACTCGGCGATGTGCAAGCAACCATTAGCTACAATTGTCGTTCAACAGGTATTCAATTTATTGGTTAGATAGTATATTTAATAGAACACTAAATTCAGACACTGCTTTCTTTGAAAAAATCTTATTTTATTCTTTACTAACACCCAATGGTGTATTTCATACAAAACTTGATATAGAAAGGTACAACACGTATGTAAATTTAATATGTTTGTTGCATTACTTTAAAATCAGATGTATTTGTGGACAGCAGGTTGGCCCTGAAAACTTTTTTCTGATCAATTAGTTATATCACTTTTTAGTACCTTATTGAAAAATATGTGGAAAATAATTCCAAAGAAAATTGTATTTAAAGTATGCCGTCTTTAACAATACTTAAAGTTAGATTTTGTGATTTAGGACTTAAGACTACTGTAACTTTTTTTAATAATAAAATTCATGCTCTTTTTATGGTACATTAAATCAACATATTTCTATTTTTAAATTTAATTTAAAGCTATTTTCATACAAATTTTTGAGTGTATGAAATAATTTCTAAAAATTAGGTTTATTGAAATTTTTTGAAAAAACATTTAAAATATATAAAAAATTGTCAATTTTTATAGTCTATATCGCTGAAGCCATACACGATAACTCAAAATTATTAAAAAAATTTGTGTTTCTCGTTCCAAAATCAAAATTCTATTATTAATTAAAATATGAATTGTGACTCTTTCCTTTCCACTAAGGTATTAGAAAATGATATAACCAATCTGATCAGAAACGAATATTTTTAGTGAACAGTTAGTGGCACATATCTTTATCTAAAGTACTTTCAAGTGACTAAAGTTGACAGTTTAAATTCACTATAAGATGTTATTTTTGTGTTATTACTTGAGTGGCATTTGAATCTGAAAATTTTAATAATAAAAAATAAACTCAAACAAATGTATTAAGCTAACCAAAAATGATCTGTTTTGCTTTTGTTGGTCCCGTAATATTTAAATACATATTAACAAAGAAATGACTTTGCATGATGGCTAGTAATAGGCCTTTTCTTTTGTAAGCATGTCGCAAAAGAACTAATAAATTTTAACACTACTTTTGTTGCTAACTCTGGACAAAATGACAAAATGGAAATTTTGTTAGGCTTATATATAGAAAACACGTAATAAAATTTAAAGTTAAAATTTCGAAAATGAATAATAATTCTTTGCACCTCTTGGTGAGAATATTTTTTTTACATGATTGTGAATAAAATATAATTTTACATGCATTTTAACAGTAAAATAATAAATAGAAATAATAAAGTATTTGTTACGAACAATGACGACACGAAATACTAGGAATTAACGAAAGCATTCGTTGACAGTTAACTAAAAATTTCGTAAGTACTTCCAAAAATCCTTCACAATAGACGAACTTTTAGTCTTGGCAACCATGCGAATAATGGATTTCATATTGTTCTAATCAGCTGAGGTTCTTATTGTAACGTATTGGGTACCATTAGTAACGTTAACTCTGACATTAGCTACGTTTATATACGGTTATTCTCAATCTATAGAAAAGATGAAAATGAATAGCTTTTTTTTGTGTTAGCAATTTTTTTTTATTATTTATTTTTGGTTAGACTTGTTAACTTCGTCTGAATCATATTTTTGAGATTACATTAAATACTTTTATTTCGTCCTCTTTAACAAAACCAGTGTCATAACGTTGTAACTTTCCTCTTTTGCAAACTTCTTTATTGACTTTATTTTTATCAAATATTCGTATTTACTTTTTAACACACTGGATCACGAGATACTATAATGTCGGCACTATTAAATTCTTCATCTAGTTTTCCAAATTTTTATACCTTTTTGCAGAAATACCCCATTCATTTATTATATTTTATCTCTATCTATATTTTATATATATGTACCTGAATTAAGTTAATTTAATTAATTAATTATTTAATTTAACGATTCAAAAACAACTGTCATAAATATTGGGTGTGTTCAGTGAAGGTTTGAGAACAAATTCAGTTAACTACTAACTACAGTTTACAGTTAACTACAGTTTAGTAAAGAAACGAAAATGGAGTTATTTTAGTGTGTTGCATATTTGAAAATATTAATCACAGCTTTTACATGCACACATATATAATGATACAAATTTACAGTTAAATTTAGTTGCTTTGCAGTGGAGTTAAAAATGCTGATTCAATATAGTTAAACTTCCATAACTCGAATTTTCTATAACTCGGACTAAATAGAATTCAACAAGGTTTAGTGAGTTTTAGATACAAACACAAACAAATTCTTTAACACGAAATCTCCATAAGTCGAACATCATCTTTGCAAATTGGTACTTCGAGTTATAGAAGTTTGACTGTATTACAATTTATAATCACTTAAAACTTAATTTGTACTGATAATTATATAGCATTTTTAATATTAAGGTTTGACCTAATTTAAAGTGTTCAATAATGAAATAGGACAACAAATAAAAAAGTATTTCTTATAAAAAGATCTAAATAAATATTCATTTTTGTTTGAGTCTATTGTTTACATTTGTGATAACACTATTAGCTGTAGTTTTACCACCTGATTTGTGAAATGGGTTCCTTTCGCCATGAACACTACTTTTACACTTAATTAAAAAGAAAAAGAGACGTTGTGTATCAGCTATAAGACATATAGCTTCAAGATATTACTCATTTTCTTCGCTTGAATTTTGTTATTTAAATATTCTGAGCAATTTTCTTGTTAAACTCATTTTTTCCGAGAGTTTCTTTGTGTTTTTATCTCAGATAAAACCTCAAATAAAAGTAAACAAATTGATTTCCATTTTGATTTTATAAATCCGTTGTCATTCAAGATCAACAGTTCACTTGTTTAAAGTAAATTCAATGAAACAAATAAATTTTTTTAATAAAAATATTTTATTAGTGAAAAAACAGTAAACGTACACACAAAATTAATTTTAAAATTGAAATGAATTTAAAATATATCGTTCTTTATTGACTATATTTTCAACAAAAAAGTTATCTTTGAAGTAAACTGAATTTTATATAAACTATTGATATTTTAACTGGAATATTGAAAAATAAATCGAATGAGATGGCGCCATTTTATAAGCGGATATGCAGAAATCTATCACGACGATACAAAGAGGTAGTTAAATATGCATGTCTGAAATGAATATGAAAACAAGTTTCGTAAATAATAATAAGTTTTTATAATGAGTTTATTTATAATTATTAAAAGACTGTGAAATGACATTTTCCACTTACAATGGTGTTTAATTAATTATTCAGAAGTTGTACATATCCAACAATGTTGCGTTGCTTTCAATCTGGATAACGTATATTTATTTTTTTTGTGTGTTTTTTTTTACATATAATAATAGAGATTCTAAGTCTTTTATGAGTTGCGACCTAAAGTGAATAAATATTTTTTTGACTTGAAAGTGATATCAAGAATCCCTAATGGGAGAAGTTTTTTCACGAAGAAACGACTCTAATATAAATATTATTATTTCGTTTTTAATAAGAGACAGATGTGGTAGTTTTTACTAAATTAAAATTAATGTATGATATTTTAATAGAAATTTTTATTAATTTTCATCTTCCATATTCTGCTATATTAATATTTTAATAATTCAATTAAATTTTTCCACATCACTAAAATAAATTAAATAAATCATAAAAAAACATAAAAAAACTTATTCTCAAATATAAAAGTGTACTTGTTGCAATCATAAAAATATATATTAAACTACAATATGAAAATATTTATTTTTCTTATTAAAAATGAACTCTGTGAAGGCAAATTTATTTGAAGGTCGCGCAATTATTTTTTTGCAGTTAATGACGGCTATGCCTTTGAGCTGCGATACGTGCGGAAATTTGAATAGTTCAACTTTCCCTAATTAGTCGTGTTAAATGATAATATTAAATATCAAGAACCATAATATATATAAAATAAAATTTCATTGGAATCAGTTCCATTATGATTTCTGAGGCGTTGCCATTTGACATTGTGTTTTGGTAAAGTTTGCTATAAGGAAAAACTATTAGAATAGGTGATGCGTAGACTGATATATCGACTAGTAACCCAATAGAAAAACTTTTTCTCTGAATGATGATTTTCACAAAAACTTGACGCTAAATAGCGGCGTCCTAAAAATTGTAATAGGTTTGATTGATTAATTAATCAATTATATTTATTGGTTTAATTGATCAATTATATTAATTATAAAAATATATACATTTTAAAATATATTCAAAATATAAATTATATGTTAATTCCACAAAGTGAAATCAAAATTTTCTAACCTGCTTAGTCATAGGTTATATTATCAATAGATGGTTTACATTATCTTTTTTATCTCTTTAACTTTTATTACAGTTGATATTAAAAATTGACATTCCTATCATGTAATTTTCTGTTTTTTTGAATAAAACTAATTTACTGAATTTATGTCGTTAAAGCTAACAACACCCTGTAATATATTTAAAATTAAAAAAAAGTGCTTTGAATGTGTGCTATATTATTAAGAATGCTTGACTGTAATAGTCGAAGTAAACATTAACTTTGTTTATGCTATTATTTATTAATAACTTTGGTCATTAATTTATTATTTATTTATCAAATTGATCTGCATCATTTTACTACATCTTGTTTATTCAGTTAGTTCTTGAATGATTACAAATTAGTATATCAAGAAATAAGCAAATAGACCAACGCACATAGGCAGACAAACATTCAGATAATTGCAGGATAATGTGTGGTCTCGCACTACGATCTAAAAATAAATATAGTTTTTATTGTCCATTGTGTCTCCAAATATCCTGATAAATCAAGCAAATCATTTATTTACATTATGTGATAATACATCAAAAAGTCAAAATAATATTTGCATTAATGCTTCGAAGTGTTGGAGATTTGGAATTCGACCTGCAGTATTTGATCCATATGTTTAAATGTGCGTTACTTTTAATTTTTTTTCTGGTGTGTTTTGCACAAATATACAGAGCACTAAATGCTTGAGCACTATATGGTGTTCGAACATGTTTGAATCGAATGTTGTAACACCAGTATGTTCGAACTTTAAAATGCTTGAAGCTTCGATTAGCTTGAATAGGATAATAGAATACTAGCGTCTTTTTTTCGTAGGAATTTATTGGGTAGAAGCCAGACTTTCGGCTGATTAGGAACCTAAAGTTAGCTACAGTATTGATGTGTGAGACTTTTGTTATATATACAAATTTTCAATAATATTGTATTGATTTGTCATTTTATTATATTTATTATTATTTAATTTTAATTAATTGGGTCAGTTGGTTACGGTGCGCTGACTCTGAGCTTCAAATTTGGCAGGACACGCGTTCGATTCCTTGTAGTTGCAGTCTCAAAAAATTATTTACGAATAATTAAATACAAGAATTATTTCCAAGACCACTGATGATGGGTATTTGTCAATACTCGAAACAACTGTATGATCAGCTAAAAAATCAATTAATTAAAATAATATAAAATGAATTTTTGTTGCTATTTATTTAATTTCTAAAAGAGATTTAAGCTCTGATTAGGATCCTTGCTTGGCCTAATAAAGCCCCATATATTGTAATATCAATATGAAATAAAAGCTTATTTCTTATATCAAAACTTAAAAAAAATTTGACTAAATACAGCATTTAATATCTTTTTTACGTAAAGTGCCGTATGATATTTTATGATATAAATATATCTATGCAGAATACTAGGAATAATATTTTAGCCTTTCATTTTTGTACAAGCCACGAGCAATGGTAACAAATTGTATAGAAATACTTCTTTTAATTGTAAATAATAATGCCAATCATACTAGATTTATATAATGTGTCTTATGCAGCTAGTCTATGTATCTTTTTATCTTTTGTGCCACTTATACAATTTATTGCATTTGTATATAGGTATGTATGGTATGTACCGCATGTACTATATAATTGTATAATATATACAAAGAAATGCATATTTTTACATTGGTGCGTTTATCTTACGTGTTCCATTCCTCGAATGCATTGACCCCAATAACTAAAAATAAAAACGCACTCGGAAATTTCCATGAAAATACATGCAGAAATTCAAAATAGTTTTTTATTGCCTTGCATTTGCTTCGGTCTGTGGATATTATGCAAAATGTGTGGGAATTTTAAATATAAGTTGTTAATTATTTTTTACTAATAATAAAACTAGAAGCAAAACTATTTTCATAGCTAATAATAAATTTAAAAATTTATTTTTAAAAATTTATTTCACAAATTTAATTTTTTTATTGAACTGAAATAAGCCTCTTTCATGTAAATGAGCTTTTGTCTTTCAATTGCAACACCCACTGGTCCTCACCGGTTTGTAAAATATCAGATTTTATTTTTAACGTTATTATTTTTAATGTTGGCACAAGTTAAAAAATACATTGAACATTGTAGCCTTCTAATTCTTTTTTTTAATCCAGTCAATATTTCAATATTTCCAACCTTTGCCTTTAAGTATTGAGTATATAGTCAAGTGAGTATATAGTGAGTATATTCTGTCAAGTTAAATTATTATAATTGATTTTCGAAATTTATGTCTTTCTGAGACGGCGTAGTATTTAACGATTGTGTAGACCAGTGGTTCCCAACTTTTTTTTTGACCAAGGTCCACAGTTTTTACTAGGGACCACAAAGTTTAAGAGTAATAAACTGTATGATTATTTTAACACGCCTTATGCATCTTTGCTATAATGAATTGTACAATAAAGTCCAGAGGTACATTATAGAGACTATCAAATAGGTATATTATTATTTGAAAATTTTTATTGCTTATTTTCTAAAAATTTTTTTCTAGATCTTAGTGGACAACCTGCAAATTATTTATTCATACCTGTTAAATTTAACTCATGAACCATTTTTAACCATTTCGTGCACCACCGGTTTGGGACCACTGGTGTAGTAAATTTTTATACCTTCAAATATACAGAAAACTGAAATTAATTAAAATGTTTATAATTTTTAAAAAGACAGATCGGACAATATGTAGGGGTCTACTACTTAGGGCTATTCAGACATTATTTCGCGATAAAAATATATATAGTGTAAACCTTTTCAAACTATTAATAAAGTTTAAAATCAGTATTAAGGTAAAGATGTAGTGGGTAATTTGATGAATGATTATTTACTTAAATATATTATATGGAAATAAATATTGAAAAATTACTTAAAAACTGAAATAAATTCAAAGATCTTATGTACAATATTTGATCAGCATTGGCTAGTTATCAAAAATATGAACGACAATTGACTCTAGATGATCACATTGATAGCCTTGATTACCTTTAAGGCCTCGTATCGTCATCATTGATCATATGATTGATATCAAATTGATGTGATCTACTTATGTCCGGTTCATGGTATATAAGTATATTTCTAAGCTTTTAAAATACACGAAGAAAATTTTTTTCTTAAGCTCCCTCCTAGGCTACGTGCCTGACCATATTGCTTTACATGTGAATATATTTTCCATAAAATAAAATATATGATTTAATAATATAAAGTTATTAAATCTTTTTGTGAGGCATAAAGTATCTGTTAATGATTTAATTCGAGCTCTCTTCAGGAGAGTATGCAAAGATTAGACACCATGGATAAACTGTATTTCTTAAGTCGCATTCTGCTGCTCTCCTCTGAATCATACCTGCAGAGCAAAATTGCATATTTCCGAGAATGAGTTTTATCTAGCTCCATTTACACTTTCATATTTCTGCTGTGCGTCTAATATGACTTGTTTGAACCTATAGACCGATAGTGGATTTTTTCTGAGGCCACTAGTTGCACAAGATAGCCTAGAGATTGGTTTATAAAATTTTGTACTTCAGACTAACTTGCAGTTGTACGGATTCTTGCTATAGAAAGTTGTGTTTTTTCTGCTTATAAGAAGAGTAAAAGTAGGTTGTATGCATTCTCCATCAAAATTCATTGCATTTAAATGTTTAATGCATTGTTAAAATATGTAATGAAATTACTCCCAAAAGCTTTGCTAATTGACAGGTTTAAGTTAATATAACGTATATATAAATACATGATTTAAAAAAATTTCATCAATAAACTCTTTAGGGTATAATGGCCAAGAATTTATGAATATTTTATTATATACGTATTTTTGATTTGGAAATATAAGAAACAAATTTTAAAAATATTTTGTATCTTCAAAATATTGCTTACATTTTATAAAATCCTGCAGTAGAAAATTCAAATTAAACAAAAATACAAAAGTATTTATTAAAGTGTGAAATGATATCAAACAATCATTGCTGATTAAATTGTTTTTAATTTTTTTGTACTTTTTCATTGAAACAATTTTAGGAATCCCAGCAATATAAGATTATTTTTAAAATATGCAGTTAGAAAACAATATTGTTAGGATTTTCAAAATTTTGATAAAAAAAATAGGTATTAAATTTTATTGGTGAAAATAATTTAAAGTACATATTTTCATTGTAATAATATTAATTTACAGTGATTATCAAACAAACATTTAATGTTATATATTTACTCATATAAATTTTCAAAACATTGCGTTAATTTAAATTACTTTCTCAAAATTTCGTTAAGCCATCACTAAGTCTAGACAATACCGTGGAAACAGTACTTATCAAAAATGAAGGCGAATTCGTTAGTGTTGAGCAGGGAAAAGATTTGAATGCGATCACTGGGTTATCTGCGCGGAAACGAGATTCACAACAATTACAGAATGCACCTCATCTTCATCATCTACAACAACCGGAACAACAACAGCGGCAAAAACGCGATGAAAACATAAGGCAGCTTTTGGATGTAACAAATACTTTAACGTTTGAAGAACTACGCGATTTTGAAATGCGGTAAGTTGGATGTTGGATCCTCTTAGAATAATATAATCTCTATTGAAGATAAACATTCTTTTATTATTAAAAGAAATTTTTAAGTTATCAGTTTTTTATTGCTCCCATAAGTCCCATTGTTAAATTTGCTTATGATGTGCACAAAATCAAGAAAAATCAAAATTATATATAAATGGGAAATCAGTGATCACATATTAAATATATCCCCATATAAGAAAAGTGTGGTTGACTAAGATGAATATTATCCGCCCATTATTATTATTATGTATGTATATGGGTAATCTCTCACTTTACTAAATTAACATATTTATTGTAAAATTTTATTGTATTAATTAGTTGAATATAGTATATAGTATGGGTATGAATATAGTATGGGATGTTTAATAATGTTTAGAATTTATAGAGAATTTGTAATCTATTACCATTTTGTCGAGTACGATGTCTTTCCAACTAATATATTACTGAAGTATTTGCATCTATTTCATAATAGCAATTTAAAATAATTCAAATAATTCATGTTTTTAACATTGAAAATATTCTAAATATTTTAAAGTTTTCTTCCTAATCTTTCCAACATTTTGGCACTTTTATTCCGCGATTAATACTTTGCTGCTAGCATTAGCATTGCTCTGTCATTACTGGTTTTCTTATTTTCTTATTATTTTGTAATTATTCCTTTCTCTTTTTACACTAATATAATTATATAGAAACACATTCATTTGAGTTAAGAAGTACTTAAACATTATTAGTGTTCGTAAACATACAAATATATAAATTATGTACAAAAAATAAACAAAAAATTTGCAACAACAAGGATGTTGTTTTGAATACTAGTTTGCAGCAACAAAATTAATTAAATGGATAAATTGAATGAATTAATTTAATGAAGTAAATAATTGGAATCAATGATTAAAAATTGAAAATTTGCAAGTTAATTATTATTTGTCAATATTTGTATAAAGATTTCATCAACAGGAAAATAAGTCCATTTAGTGATGTGCACATTTTCAAT